ACGCGGGAAACACTTTTTTTTTTTTTTTTTTTTTTTTGAGGAGGTGGTGTGGTGATTCTCAAAATTTCAAAAAAAATTAAAAATTTAAAAAAAAAATTTTTGAGGAGATAGTGTGGTGATTCTCAAAATTTCAAAAAAAAAATAAAAATTAAATTTTTTTTTTTTGGGTGTTTTGAGGTGGTGTTGTGGTGATTCTCAAAATTTTAAAAAAAATTATTTTTTTTTGTTTTGAGAAACTAACAAAAAGAACGCATTTTCAACAATTTCAAAACAAACACTCAAAATACAAAACTCAAAACAAATTCAAAATACAAAACTGAAACACAAAGAGAACACCCCCTAAAATCCTTAGGAGTTGCTTTTTATTAGAGAGATTTCAATAAATTTAATAATTTTAATTATTCTCTTTATTGCAGCATATGAGGCGGATCAAGCGTAAGGGTCTCACGTGTACAGCTGCGCGTGGGACAGTATCTTTACTTTCAGGCACAACTACGCAAGTCTCAGAATACTTAAGGGCTTGTTTGGTTGGAAAGATCAAGGTCCCCAAATTAGAATTAAAAATAGTTAATTTTATTTTGTTTTATTTTTGAGAAAAGCATAGGTAGTTTTGATTTTAATTGTTGCTAAATTTTAGTCATCGAATATTTGTTGTTAAAACTTTTTTGCGCCAAGATAGTTTCCATGAATTAAAGAAAATAATTATTAATCATTAATTATTTATAAAACTAATTGCATTTATGGTTAAGTAACGTGACAGGTTAAATTGAACCAAGTTCGGGCAACTTCGTGTTACCCTATAGTTATACATTTGGTATTAGTTTTAATCATATGTTAATGATATAATAAAAAATAGGGAAAATTGCAGCCGAAGTACCAAATCTTTCGTTTATTAGCAGACTTTGTCCAAACCTTTGATTTGTGCCACTGTGAGTACCAAACCTTTAAAAAATATGCAGCTCAAATCCAAAATGACGGTTTTCGTCTGTTTGACCCCAAAATCCGTTAGTTGACGCCAAAAATTAAAAATCTGATTATTTTTCCCAAATACAGCAAGGGCAATTTGGACATATCACATTTTTCCTATTAAATTAAAAATTAAAAAAAAGCAAAAAGAAAAACCATAACCCCCCCCCATCTCCTTCTTCCCCAACCCCTCACTCCAAAGCACTAAGCATTACCACCACCTAAAACCACCTTCGGCACTACTATAGTTGGAGCATAATTTCGATGACTTCCGACCACCTAGACCATCGAATATTGGTACCATCGGAAAGCCCTTGACCTCCTCTTCAATTAATACCGATCATCTCCCCCATAAAACCAGTAGATTTGGTCGCAATTAATCAACAAAGTCAGCTGATGAAACTGCCGAAATCACCACCTCCGGTCATCTCCTTGATCAGAACCCAATATAGGTCGATTGCCCACCCAAATCTAACTCCAACAATGGTCCTAATCAATCCCAAACAGTACAAAAACACATGGAATTAACAACAACAGAATCGATGGTCGCGATCGCGTAGCCTGCGCAACAGGGTCTGAAAATCTCAGATGTCGGCGCCGTCTGATAGACCCATGATCGCAGACCGCCATGGCTAACCTCCTCTCCACCTGGCGCACCTTGCCCAGCCATGGGTCAAGTCCAATTTGGTCCAAAATTGAGCGAATTCATGGGTGCAATTAGGGCTGTGTGCGATAACTTCAGTTCTAGGGAATTTAATGTTTCTATGTTCAATTCGACCATCCAAACTTCAATTGGTGATGGAAGGTCATTGGTAATCATCCAGTTGTGCCATAATTCTACTG